AGATAGCTAGATAGATAGATAGATAGATAGATAGATAGATAGATAGATAGATAGATAGATAGATAGAATAACAGACAGACAGACAGACAAATAGATAGCTAGATAGATAGATAGATAGATAGATAGATAGATAGATAGATAGATAGATAGATAGATAGAATAACAGACAGACAGATAGATAGCTCTGGTTACAGTAAATGGCAGAGGTCAAAAGCACAGTCTTTCTCTCTGGTTTTGTTTGAGGTGATTTTTTTCTGGTTAATGCTCTACTGCTTCAGTTAAACATCAACATCAGATCAGTGAACAGGAACACATTCAGAGGACAGGAAGAACGAGTCGGGCCTGTGCTCTTATGATCATGTGACCGGGCATCTGAGAGCTGCTTCCCTGTCAGTCTCACTTCTCTACACCACCGTCAGGAAGGGAAGTGAGTGAATCACACTTGAACATCCTCATAGCAGAGAATTAAAGCTGAATCATTCAGATGTTAGAGACTGGACTGGACAGAATTAGATTCAAAAGGAAATTTCCTAGTTGTAGTGTTGTTACAGTTAACAAAAACTAAAACAATTGAACTAGTTGATTAAAAATAATATTTCATAAATTTAAATAATAAAGCTGAAATAAAATATAAACATTAGTTGAAATACTTAAAAAAAAGGTAAAAATTAGAAATGCTGTGTTGGCAACTAGTTTAGGTAGAAAACTCAAATTAAATTAAATTAAGCTGATGTTTTAATTAAATTAAAACTAAATTCAATGAAGACTAAAATAACTGAAACTGAAATCATAATAAAGCTAAATGAACAAAATGACAAAAGCACATAACATTACTAAAACCTAATCTAAAATTAAAATGTAACATGAAAAACATGAACGCTAATACAACATATTAATAAACACTACAATAGAATATAAATAATGTGGCTTATTATTCTCTATCCTAGAATTCTATAAGTCCAGATATACCATTCTGACTTTGCGAATGAATACAAACAGTATCCATAAATCATGGCTCACACACAAGACTTGAATTTAGATGCCAAGCATATCATAAATGCATAAAACTCAACCTGGGCTGTCTGAAATCTGATTTCATAACCATTATCCAATGCAGAGCCTGCTGTAGCTCTACATCTAGACAGCTTCACGTGAATTAGGTTATGATATAATGCGCAAAACGCGCGCATGCGCCCTGCTAAAGCTGCATGGAAATGAAAGCATGGATGCGTGTCATGGATCTTTCATTTTCTGTTCCTCATCCTGATTATCATGAAGAACGCAAACATCCCGCAGCATCCGAGCGCTCAAATCAGCGCGCGTTGTCTCGCGCGTCGCTACTCACTCCGCGTAGCCGGCGGCCCAGGGCAGCTTCATCTCCTTGAGGATGAGGATGGGTCTGGAGATGTGATCCGCAGAGCACTCCACCTCGTCTGGAGACAGCGCGAGGAAATCCGGTCTGCTGTACGGGAACCGGAGCGGTGGATCCGGGTGGGTCTCCTGCGCGCTGGATCCCGAAGCCATGATGCCGCCGATGATGCTGGAGACCGCGGACCGCACGCGAGTCATCATCATGATGATGATGAAGATGATGAAGGTGGGAGCGCACTGAACGCCGGTGCTCAAACGCGACGCAGCTGGAGCGCACCCTCAGCACGGCGGAACTGAACGGCATCACGTGACAGTCCTGCCGCGGGTCATTGGGTCACTTTGGTGACTTTGACCCTCAAACTGTTCACATTTATTTAACTTCCTTATTGTGTGCGCGCGCGTGTGTGTGTGTGTGCATGTTTATGTGGTTTATGAGGACACAAATTTGTATAATAACATGGGTATGACATAGGTATTACAACGAGAAGGTGATTTATGAGGACATTTTCAGTGTCCCCGTAATTCAAAAGGCTTATAAATCATTCAGAATAAGTTTTTTTGAAAATCTAAAAATGCAGAAAGTTTCCTGTGAGGGGTATGTGTGTGTGAGTGTGTGTGTGTGTGTGTGTAAAAAAAATGTTTTACTGTCCATAAGGACCAAGGCCATCTGATCATCACTGTAAATATCAGCGGCAGAAATTGATGTTTTAATCAAGTACCTATTATCTTCACTCACTCAAATAAATAAAGAAGTAAATACATTTAGTGTCCTTGTTACACACATTGCTATAGTAATAACAGACAATTAGGCATAATTACATGCAGCTAACCCAACAGCAAACCCTTATTCTAACCGTATTAATAAACACGCGTGGTTAATTAATCAGAATCGACTAAAAACACATCTCTTCCATCTTTATTTGACCCTCTAACTCTAGCACTCTCTATTCTAATTCTATTCTTTAAAAAAATGCCCCTTTTAGACTTGCACTCTATTCATTTACTAACTGCTTGTTTTCTTAAAAAAAACAAAAAACACTAGCTTCTCTAATCTTTTTGTATTCTATCTATTTTTCTTTTTATTTATTTTACAATTAACAAAAAGGCCTATAACACTAGCTTGCTCTATTCATTTTCTGTTCTATCTGTTTTCTTTTTATTTATTATAGAATAAAAAAAAACTTGCTATGTGTACTGTGTGAAGCTAACTGAGACTTGTTATAGCACTTGTATATCATATGATAAAAGCATCTGCTAAATGACTAAATGTAAATGTAATTAATATTACTCTGTACTTAAATGTAGCAATAATTACACCGTAACAAGTTCACCTTCAAATAAAGTGTGAAATGAATGAATGAATGAATGAATAAATAATGAATGAATTAATGTATAAATTAAAAATAAATATATTTTAATAAAATTCAACAGCCAACAAAACAAACCACATCACTGAGTGTTTTAAAGTGTTATATAAGGACACTAAAATAAAGCATAACAGTACAATAACATAAAATATATATTTTTTAATTCAAATAAGTTCATATCAGTTCATCAATCACCAAAACAAACCACATTACTAAATAGACTATAATTTAAATAAATATTTGAAGTGTTATATAATAAGTACGACTCAAAATAGGCTCAAAGCATAACCAGTCCAATAAAATAAACAACATTATTTTATTTTATTTTATTTCGAAAAAAAAAATATCAGTTCAAATCAGTTCAACAATTAACAAAACAAAACACATTACTCAATAGAATACATTTGAAAGAAATATTTTAAGTATTAGATAACAGTTAAAAACGACTTTTAATATTAAGTAACAAGTCAATATTTAAAATGTATTAAATATCATTGGAAAGCGCAGTCTCTGACCCAAACTGTGTTAGCAATTACAAACTTGTGTAAAAAGTGCATGTTTTATTGTTCTAACATGCTGTATTCAGCATATCCATAACAGACTTTAAAAAGTGCTTAATCTTTCCAACTTTAGCTGATTTATTCTCGTGTACTCAATGCTGAACTGTTTAAACAACATCACACTCAACAACTGTTTGAATAATCCCACGAGGATTATGAGATTTGTGCACAATCACTACAAATATATGCCATCTGTTACAGCAGATATCTGCCTGACATGAATCCCAAATCAGCATGTAATCCATCTCAACAGCCAAAGCAATACAGAAAATTAAAGAAAGATGAAAATTACCCGTTTACACGTTGTTCAAACCCATATGTCGTTTTCAAAGCTTGTGTACTATATTATGCATGTGAAAAACAGATGAATACTAACGCATAAAGCTATCATATCACTTCAGAAGACTGTACTGAAGTTAATTCGTTTATTTATTTTATTTTGCAATCAATAAATAGAAATACTGTACCAGCATTTTGTTTAGGGCAAGAAAGTAAATCGCTGTCATGTCTCATAATGGCCACTAGATGTCGTAATTTAATTAAAAAATAATAACTGTAATATATATGAAAATGTTAAGATTACAAAGTGGGTTACATCTGAATATTTTCACACACATACAGATTTAACTGATTTCTTTCATAAATTGCAGTGACTGCACTAAAATATGAGACACCAATGTTTCAGGAGTTTAGAACACAGAATAGGACACATGCTTATTTGATAAATGTTTTATTTCCTATCTGGCTTTGTGTATATGCTTTATTTTTGTTTTTGTTTTTCGCCAAGGCATTGTTAGTATCATAGCTATTTAACTATTTCTTGTTATGATTTTAAACCTGTATTTAACCTCAGAACGATCTCAAAGTAAACATAGCTGCTAAAGTCTGATCTTGTGGTGGCTGTGCTTTAAAATGTAATTATTATAATCTTAATTCAAGTTATGAAGGTTTTGAAAGTCTTACGGTAATCAGTGGTGAGTACTGCTGTGAGGTTAACCCTGCCTGCTTTAAATGTTTCAAAATTATTAACAGTTTAGTAAATTTAGAAAGTAATCAAATGTAATCGGTTACATTATTAAAGTAATTGAAATAGTTACACTACTTATTACAATTTAAAGAGGGTAACTGGTTCACTACAGAGAGTGTTTGACACACACGGGTCAGCCTGCTTTCATTAAAACAGTCCAGGGACACTGCAGGTCTGCTTCTGCTTTCAGCAAACACCCAGGTACTGTCGATTTATGAGCTCAGCGGTGCCCAACGCATGTGCTGCCTCTCAATACTGATCTTATGGATGGTCTAAGAGCAAGATTTAGGATTCGTTTTGGGTCATTTGTTAGTTTTATTGCTTTCTGGCTCGCTCTGTCTTGTCCGATGTGGAAAGAGTGCTGTCCCGCTGAGGAGCTGATGAGGCGGTGTGTATTTACTGCTGCTTGGCTGTTTATGATGGGAATCTGTATTATTCTTTCGGCCTGTTTTGGATGGATTACTGCTCATTAAAAAGAAACAAATCACTGTAATCTGTTAGAAATTCATCTCACGGATTAAAGCTTTGCTGGGGAACTGATTTGGACTCTAGTCCTCACTTACAGTTTTTCTCAATCGATTTGACACTTTTCTCCAATGTAATGTACTTGTTCTCAAAACAATTAGCACAGCCATCCAAACACAAACTTATCTTAACCAAACAGTTCAACTTTACTGCAAAATGAAGCGCTGCATTTATTCTAGTAATGCATTTGTTAAAAGTAAATATTAACACAAAATCTATAGGTGTGTTCTCTATTGATTATAAAACACATTCAGCTGTAGATGCACAAATATGCTCATGAAAATACATGTTTATTGCAATTCTTCAACAGGGAGTTTTGTGTTATATATGTTGTGTATATCTAAACGAAATAAAAATTGTTATCCAACACCATGAGAAAAATCTGTTTGTGCCACCTTTAGCAGCAAGAACTGCAAGCAAACTTTTCTGAAAACTACAGATCAGTCTTTTACAGCACAGTGGTGGATATACAGTATATATTATTTTTTTTTAGCTGGTGAAAATACTAGTGTTCTAATAATTTTGGCCACCACTGTATATACACACGTGTGTGTGTTTGCTGTATACATGAATTATCCTGAATTATTGATCTTGCCTTTCATTTACATCTGGAAGAGAATTTCATTGCATTGCATTTTATCTACACTACAAATTAGCTGTTCTATACTACAAAGTTGTCCCAGGAGGACTAAAATCTGCACTATCAACAATCATCGTACAACACTTTATAAGTGTATTCACATAGTAGCTCCACCCCCTCACAAAATTCAATCTAAGATTACAGGATTTCCCCATTCAAATAGATAGGACTTGAGGCATCTTTACACAGCTGAGTTAAGGCTGCTTTATGCCTGCTCAGAATTCAGTGTAGAGATGCAATGCCGCATAAAAGCCAGATTAAATTATGCCTGCTCTGAGCCACCTCAGGCACTAGTATCAAGCATAAAGTTGTAATTGCTGTGAAAATGCATGTGTGCCACTTCTGAGCAGCATTAAACAATCTGTGTAAAGATACCTAAATGCCACTTCAGAAGCGCTTCTGTGCAGTGTAAATATGGCCACCGAGGGAACAGACTTTCCTTGAGAGGGACTTTGGTGATAATAAGCATAAGCATAAAAATAGCACTGAAAATTGTATGTTTACTTTTTAGTTTTGAATTAAATGTTTATTTGTAGTTGACATTACCATCCACCAGCCCATTACAATGCATTATGGGATTGTATTCAATATATTTTGGACAAGCGTTCACATCACAAATGCGCCTGTGGTGCATTATAATGCTGCATTGAAAAAGAGCTTGAAAATGTCTTGGAAACCAATCTTGAAAATGTAAATGATCTGCATGTTGGATGTTGGATGGAAGCAGTTTGGAAGCTGTTGTAAATTACACGCATGAGCCCAACTCAATATTCGTTTCTGCCTAGTGTGTATTGTTTGTTTATCCCAAATGTGTTTCTTTGAACAGGAATTCACTTCATCTTTTTATATTAAACTAATAATTCTAAATTAATTATTAAACAACGACAGAACAGAGAAAGTGAGTCACTAACAAAAACATGCCATGGTAGAATTTTTTTGGACATGTATCATGGCAGTAGTATGATTTAATACCCTGATAATACCCTGGTATTTTTTGCAATACCTCGGAGTACCATATTAATATCATGGTACATGAGTATGCTAATCATTCCCCCAAGTACCCTCTTAAAACAATGTGCCTTTCCTTTTATATTGTAACATATTTCAATAAATCTAAAAACAACAAACAGACACAACATTTTTGATATTCAACCTAATGCAAT